ATTGCTGGATCCAATTAAGCCAACAATCTTCCCCCTTAATAATTTTACCTTGGGTACTTGAACCCACTATTAGAATAAATATTAATGTTAAGCCCTCATTTACAAGCTAAAACTTTTAGGTGGATTGATAACTTAACATAGTATTAGATCCAAGATCATAAGTTCAAATCCTCATATTTCACCTTTATAAAAATTAAAATCCAAGTCTCATGTGAAGGAGCTTGGAATAATTATTCATGTTAAACCCCTACCTATAAGATTAAACTTTTAAGTTGATTGTTAACATGACATTACTCTGATACGACTTATTAAACTCAATTGCTTTTAAAGGTTATAATTGTTATGTCCTTACATAAAATATGAAAAAGGGCCAGGCCAGGCCTAATGGGCGGTCCGCCACTGTCCACTATTAAAGCAGCCCCATATGAGATTAATGTAATTAAATTAGAAAAGTCGAAGGTCTCATAGTCTATTGTTATAATATTCAATACAACCCACTAAATACGTCCTATATTTGACCGCAAACTATATAGAAGTTAACCCCAAGAAGTTGACTTGACGGTTAAAGAGGTTTGTTTTATTCCTTAAGTTTTTGGGTTTAAACCTTGGAGTCGCCTATTATAATAACATTATGATTTACCTGATACTTTAGACTTGTATGATGTTCAATGAACTTCGAAAATTAGTTGAGGTGCACGTAAGCTGACCCATACACCTCGATTATCAAAAAAGAAAAAAAAATTATATAGAAATCGTAATTTAATTAATGAAGTACAGAAAAAAAGTGACATATTAGCAATAATTATAGTTAAACCTAACTAGAGAAGATTAGAAGAAGTCATTAAACTTAACACTAATAAAGCTCTTAATCAAAGATTAATTAGTAGGAGGATGAATGGAATTGGAGGTAGCGGATAGTTAGACAGGTTTTGAACGTTTGATTTGATTTTTTCTCCCCCGACAAAGCATAGTGGCGGTCCCCTATCAATTGCTTTCTTTCACATTTTCCCCACAACTTTATAGTTGGTCAAGCTGATTACCTCGAATGTAACCAAATTTCAATCTCTTGTTTGCAAAAGTATGATGATACTCTTGTGTCTTCTTTTGAAAAAAGTCCTTACCCAAATCTCCTTTTCACATGTACAAGCTATCTTCATCATCTTTCTTCTTTTTTCATATTTACATTTTTACTTTTTTCTTAATTTTTGTTTATATTATCAATTAATTAACTAATTAAATCCCATTAAGGAAGACTACAGAACACTCCTTTCCGCTTAATTAATAGCTAATCATTCTCTAGTTGATTTTTTAAATAATCAGTAGTTGGAGGATTGGTGACTGGTGAGGCCTCCGAGTTGGACTCTCACTAACGTCCTTTCCTTGCCTTTGAAAAATAGTGTCACCCTCACCCTGGTGCTATTTTACAGTAATCCTTTGACAACACTCACTTCTCTATTTCAGAAATATATACATTACATACATAATTGTCAAATTCATAGCCACATAATCATTTTATCGTCCAAGTAATGTCAAATCAGTTGATTCATAGAATGATAAAGTCAGCAAGTGTAATATTACTCATTCTCTAATTATTTTTCAATTAAGAGTTCTAATATGTATAACTATTTTTAATTGAATTAATATGTATTAAATTCTAAATAATATGGCATTATCTTACAATCATTTACTGTTCAGTTTCAACCGAAACGAAAAGAAAAAAGAGGTTCTAGAGGCTAGGGTTTGAAAAGTTGAACAAAGCAACAAAACTACTGTATACAATATGAAAGGGTTGAATTGATATTTATATAAATATATATATTCATTATCCTAATACGTAATCAAAAGTTGCAAATCTCCACTAAGTGCAAACTAATATAATTCATGTTTTACGTTTGAGAAAGTTTTAAGTAATGCCCCACTTGGTGGGCAACAAATGCTGGATATATGGTTAAAGGTGCGACTTTCCTTAATTTCTCCATCTCTTTCTCTATTAGATCTGTGCAAAAGGAAGTGCGACTCTGAGCTAGCTGTGGTTTCTTCAGTTAAAGTTTAGTTTTCTATTGGATTAGAGAGAGGTTGAAATTGTTTTCTATGTAACTAGAGTATTGATATACAAAGAGCAAATTAAATCACACCAAAATTTAATAACTATTAGTTCATATCAAAGGTCCAGGTTTTACAGTTTAGTTTGTGCCAATATACTAATGACAACACACGTGGATCCAGACTTTTAAATGTATAGAAAAGGACCCAATCAGTTATTAAACTATTTCTGAACTTTTAATACTTCATTCAACGAAAATCAACCATCATAATGGGATTCAGTCGCATCCAAGGTATATCCAACCTCCCTAGGTTTAATGAGTTAAAAGGTTAGGTGAAGATGAATAAGATGATTAGGACAGTTCAAAATTCCAATAATATTTTTTGGATATGGAATATATATGAACAACTTATTCTCAAATACAGTATTATGAAGTCTTTCGAGTGACTGATTTTAATAACAGAGTTGTGTGAACAATATCCAAAGTGATCAAATATCATATTGGTGTGAGCGAGGTTCCGAAATATATCATGCAATTGCATATTACAAATTGCGAGATTATCACTAAAAGAACAAATTTTTTTTTTTTTTTTTTTTTTTTGGAGTAAAATGATGAGATTCATGTTTCAAAGACAAGTATACAAATTGCGAGATTTTTTTTTTTTTTAACTGTGACAAGGGTAGGGTAATAATTTAACAATTTTCAATGATCTAGTATATTACAAACTCAAAGGCACAATAGAGAAAAACTAGACTAATGAAATGTTGACATGTGACATTAAGATGTGATGTTCGTCTTACCATGGTGATAGAATTTAAAGTGGGCCTAACTTCTCACCCAATAAGACCTTATTGAATGGGAAGATTACCTCCTCTTATAACCCAATAGGCTTGAGCGTGCCTAGTTGGTGTAGGACTCCAATACTCCCCCTCACGGTCAAGCCCCCATATGTTGGATCATGCCTATTGATAGAGGTAGTTGTTGGCTCTAACTTCTCACCATCTGGTCAAGCGTTCAGCTCAACTGAATATGGGCTCTGATACCATGATAGAATTTAAGGTGGGTCTAACTCTTCACCCAATAAAGCCTTATTGAATAGGAAGATTACCCCCTCTTATAACCGAATAGGCTTGAGCGTGCCTAGTCAGTGTAGGACTCCAACACAGGGTAACAAGTAACAAGGAAAGCGGAATGAATCGGTTCTGTGATAAGAGTTGGGGTGATTGTTCGTATCAATCGTTTTTATCTCCTACGATAAATGTAACATTCTATACTGATGACAATATCATCGATAAATTGATCGATAAAAAATGATAAATTTGTTGTTGGCTTGAGCTACTAAAGGCATGCTTGTGCTGATAGTCATCGACTCTGCTAAACCATTTTTTTTTCTTGAAAAAAAAATTTAAGCAATAACTTTAAAAGTTTTTTAGTTTATTAATTTAAAATTAATCAATCTGTATTATTTAAGTATTTAGTTTGGGTATAATTATCTTTTTTAATGTAATTGTTCTCATGTAATCACTCAGTCATTAGCTGGTATTTTTGGCTTTCCACGCTCAATCAATAAATGAATGACAAAATGGTCTTTCTATAGTGATGATTAGATAGAAAATAATTAAAGTTAATGGAAGGTAGTGTAATGTGGTGCTCTGTGCTTAGATTTCAGACATGGGTTCTTACTGTTACTTACAAAATTATGACTTCAACTTAGACCAATTATAAATAAGAATAAACTCTACAATATAATAAGTTGTAAGTTTTTTAAGTCTCATCTTAAGGAACTTGTCTCCATATAGTAATAATTATCTATATATTGCAAAAAATATATTTTATGTTACTTTAAAGGTTTAAGATGAAATAAAATATTTATTTAAAATTATTTGGTACAATAATTTATGCTTTAGAATTATTATCACATCTTTAAACTTGGGGATACGTAATAATTCGTCAGCATAGATATCTTTTTGTTGAAGCCAAAATATTTCTAGATTCTCAAGTATGTTTAAAGCTTTTTGGCATGAAACTTTTTGTATTTCCGTACTATTATCCTCAGATTTATCTCTTTCCTCTTCTTGTCTAATTGCAATAATGATTTTTTTTTCAGTTAAAGTATATACGACTTGTTGTTCATTCGGATGATTAAGGAAGATATTAATATCCATTCGATTAGTGCATACTTTCCCTCTATACCACTTGCACGAAGGATAATTAAGTCAAAACAATAATTTTTGTAACTATAACTAACCTCCTCATAGTAATAAAATTATTTGATCCCACCATTTTGATTATAGAAATGTTCTACTGCATATACAAGAAGGGTCACATATAAATGTGATTGGATTTTGCCGTGTGTTTGAATCAATGGAGATTATAAGGTAAAAGAGAAACTGATAATTAAGATTATGTAAGTAATAGAAAGTAATAACATAACATTAATGTTCACATATATGAGAGCGAGAAAGAGATTAAACCACACAATCCTTACATAAAGATTACCAATTAGCAATGAAGCGGACGAATTTTCCCTCTTGGAGAGGTACATAGACTTAAACAATGCAATTGTGCATGCTACTAGAAGAAGAAAATTCATCAGCTTCACGACTACTTGAGGCAATCTCCTTATTTTTCTACGTAAATACTATGCATAAAAGACTTAAGATATTATAGCTCAATGCCCGGCAAGTGCTCCGTAGCAAATCGCTCCCAACGTTCTTGTTGAGAATGTTTTGTTACTGAGCACAAGCCTCCATGCATGAGCCTAGCTAAAAACTTGTAGCATCTATTCTTAACTTCCAAAACAAAACAGACATGAACTGAAGACACTAGTAGAAAAATAGCTTTCTTTGACAGTCACCTCTTAACAAGGGTGTTTGATGGTTTTTGTCTGTCAAAGAAGGCTGTTTTTCTAGTAGTGCTAGACAAGAAAATTAAACCTTTTGAAACCCTCAAAAACTAGCGAGCGATTTCATCTTCAGAGCCGGTGATGCATTCCTTCTCATCTTGATCAAAGCCATCGAGAGACGGGTGTGGAGAATGGCCTTTCCCAAATGACCTAATGTGATCCTTTAGAGATCTTTTATGCTTGAAATCCGAACCACAAGTGCAATACCATAACTTTCCACAATTTTTTTCATGTGTTCTCCAGTCTCCTTTAACTGCAAATGTCTTCCCACATTTTCTGCAGATAAACGGCTTTGCACCATGCTTTCGTTTGAAGTGTGTTTGAAGTGTCCTGAAATCTTTCAATGGCTTGGCACGAGGATGGTTGATGTTGTTCTTGCAACCTTGAGCACAACAATAACATGGTAACCTTAGCATTGCCGCTGGTTGTGTTCCTTTAAGCGAATCTGGACCTTTTCTGTATTCAGATCCGTGCCCCCACATATGCATCTGTACCAAGAAATTAAATTCAGCGCATGTTTTCTAATTAAAAAAATATGCATTTCGTATTCAACATGCCTCTAAGTTACCAGGTTTAGAACGTGTATTGACTCTCTCTAATCTATGTTTTAGACTTTAAGTGAGATATGTCAAAGTCGGGTTGCTTCTAAATTTAGACAAATGAACTTGCAACACGACTGTCATTCATGAAATGAACTTTCGAGAGTTGTCAAAGGTTGGATTGTTTTATATATATTTCAACTTTCTTTCCAAAAAACAAAAAAAAAAAACAAAAAGATCCCTACTGTTGTTAATTGGTTTTCTAAAGAGGATTGATTTTGCAAGCAACATTATTACAATCATAAAGTAATAAAAAAGTTGAGCATTATTAATTGAAGGAAGAGTATCCAAGGTTCAGTAAAACGCCACTCAGATTTCTATCTAGATGACAATTATGTGAAAGCATATATATATTTTCCGTTAATCATTATTACCAACTCCCTGCCCTATCTTTGTATAATTAATCTTTTAATAACTTTTCTCCTACCCCAACTTGCGTTCTTTCCTCCTTAACTTTTCACCCTAAAGGGAGGCAGTGAAGGACAATTGTCAAAAGAAATGGGGTTTATATTACCAATAAATCATCGAATCTTTACTCACCTAAAGCCAAGAGAATATATATATATATATNTTAGGCATCATCCATAGTGATGTATGTGGTCCACTAACAGTTGAAGCCAGAGGTGGATATTCATACTTCATCACATTTACTGATGATTTCAGTAGATATAGTTATGTTTACCTTATGAGACATAAATCTGAAGCCTTTGATAAATTCAAAGAATTCAGGAATGAAATACATAATATGTTGGGCAAAAGTATTAAAGCTCTTCGGTCGGATTGAGGAGGTGAATACTTAAGCTCAGGGTTTTTTGAATACCTGAAGGAATATGGGATAGTATCACAGCTCACCCCTCAGTATACACCCCAACACAATGGAATGTCTGAAATGAGGAATAGGACCTTACTTGACATGGTTAGGTCCATTATGATTTCTACCTGTATCATTCTGGGGTTATGCCCTAGAGACTGCAACTCACGTTTTGAATTATGTGCCGTCAAAGTCTGTAGATAAGACTCCATATGAACTACGGAGTGGGCGAAAGCCTAACTTTCTTATCTAAGGATTTGAGGTTGCAAAGCTTATGTTAAGAAATTGACTTTGAACAAGCTGGGCCCAAAATCCTGTAAATGTATATTTGTGGGGTATCCAAAGGAGACCAAAGGATAGTATTTCTACCACCCAGGGAGCACAAAATTTTTGTTGCTCGTTCTGGTGTCTTCCTAGAAAAGGAATTTTTTTCTTTCTAAGAAGTACTAGTGGGAGAAAAGTAGAACTCGATGAAGTTCTAGAACCACAAATAATACTAGATAAAAGAGGGGGTGATGTGCCACAGAAGGTGGCTGAACATTATGAGGAGGTTACTCCACAACTTGTGGATTAAAGTGAACCACTTCAGGTAGCATATGAGTAACGTAGATCAGGAAGAGTACACCATTAGCCTGAGAGATACGGTTATCTCATGACTCAACATGGTGACGTACTAGTCTACCAAGATGATGAACCTAGAACTTACGAAGACGCTATATCAGATCTAGATTCCGTTAAATGGCTTGAAGCCATGAAATCTGAGATGGACTCCATGTACCAGAACCAAGTATGGTCTTTGGTGGAACCACCTGAAGGGGTAAAACCACCCATAGGGTGTAAATGGGTCTTGAAGAAGAAGACTGACATGGATAGCAAGGTGCATACTTATAAGGCACGATTTGTTGCAAAAGGTTTCAAACAAATTCATGGTATTAACTATGAAGAAACCTTTTCGGCGGTTGCCATGATTAAATCCATCCAGATTATGCTTGCGATTGCTGCATATTATGACTATGAGATTTGGGAAATGGATGTGAAAACAACTTTTCTGAACGAAAACCTTGAAGAGGATGTGTATATGACACAACCCGATGGTTTCATTCTTGATGGGCAAGCTGATAAGGTATGCAAGTTGCAGAGATCCATTTATGGACTCAAGCAAGCTTCTAAGAGCTGGAACATTCGTTTTGATGAGGCTGTAAAAGAATTCGGTTTTATCAAAAATGAAGATGAGCCCTATGTTTACAAGAAAGTGAGTGGGAGCATAGTGGCATTCCTAGTATTGTATGTCGATGACATACTTCTGATCAGGAATGATATACTGAACTTGCAGTTGGTAAATGTTAGGAAACGATCAAGTTATGGCAGCAGAAATAAAAAATCATAAACATCATGGATCGTTCCTTAGAACCAAGATCAGGGTACAAATTTAATTAATAATTTCACAAAGTGTTGCACTTATATAGTGCACACTATCCCTATTCCATCATGGAATGGGCTTGGGCACCAACCCAAACAATCCCTATGTCCAAACAGCCCCATTTAGATATTTTTAATAATTATTATTGTTATTTCAATTAAATTCAATTAATTCAGTAAAACCTCTCTATAGTGATACTCTATATAAGAATAAACTCTACATAGTCATAAAAAATTCAATTCCCAATTTGGGATAGTTATAAATAAGAATAAACTCTACATCGTAATAAGTTATAATTTTTCTAATTCCCGTCTTAAGAAAAGTTGCCTCCATATAGTAATAAGTATCTGTATATGGCAAAAAAAAAAAAAAAAAAAATGCTATGTTACATTAAGGTTTAAGATGAAATAAAATATTTATCTAAAGTTGTTTGAGATAATGATTTATGCTTTAGAGTTGTTACTACATCTTTTAACTTGCGGGTAGATTACTCGCTAGCATGAACATCTTCTTGTTGAAGCCATATATTTCTAGTTTCCCAAGTATGTTTAGAGCTTTTTGGCACAAACTTTTTGTATTTCTATACTATCACCCTCATGATTATTTCCTTCATATTCTTCTCTAATTGTAGTAATGATTTCTTCGTTAGTTAAAGTATACATGACGTATTGCTCATTTGGATGATTGAGAAAGACATTAATATCCATTCGATTAGTGTAATGAAGTTGTCAAATTTGATCACTAAATTCTACAATGACTCTTTGATTCTCCTCATCCACTTCATTTGTAACTTGCAATTCATCGATATCGGGGATCCTAATTTGGTAATAATTAAAACAATTGGCAATAGTATGTGGCTTCACATATTGCTGCATAATTTTGTAATGATTAAAACAATTGGCAATAGTATGTGGCTTCACATAAATTTGCTGCATAATTTTGTAGTGATTAAAACAATTGACAATAGTTTGTGGCTTCACATCAATTTGACCATGCAGCAATTGCATTTACAATTCCATCAAGGACACTTATCTTTGTTGGTTTCAAGACACGATCTTCTATCTGTTTCAAAAGTAGGCAAGTGAAGCGCTGAATTGAAATCTTAATAGTATTAAAACATCAATTGAAATCCTAATACTGTACTACTAAAACATGAATTATAAAGAAATTTTTGTTATCACACCTCTATTAATATATAACCTCCTTATAGTAATAAAATCAATTAATCCCACCATTATGGCTATAGAGAGGTTTTACAGTATATATATATTTCATATATTAACATTTAAAAATAACAATAATTCATTTAAATATATGCGAACACATATTTAAATATAATTTCACGTATTTTGGTAATTTTATTAAAAAATTAAATAAAGGCTACGACCTTAGCAAATTTAATTGTACTGTGAAATTACCAAAATATCCTTTCACCTAAAAAGACGAAAATGCCCTTCTTATAAAATGGTTCTTAAATTATCTTCTATGTGTGTGACCCGTAGGCTCCTCATCATACCGATAGTGTGTAGTATCGCGATTAACACCAATTAATCGTCTCACTACACACAAACCAGGATTGGCCCCTAGCAAGGCATCACGACCACCTTATATATTCAGATTCAGCGAAATAGCTACCTGTCAATGATATGGTTACTGTACAATCCGATCCTTTCATCATTTGTTATCTTGACGAGATCGAGGCATAGAAATAGTGTCAACCTCGGTCACTTTCGATATTATGTATTTAGTTACTGGACCAATGACTGGAATTATAAACTGGATAGAGTAACAACTCAATCCCACTGTGCCCACAGCTTTAGTGTCATTGCCATTTACTGAATTGCACCATGAGATAACTCCCCCCCGTACCTGGGAGTGATGAATCCTCTGTCTATCCACCATAGTCTTGATACACTCCTTGATGCAGCCAATTACTACCGTATTGATAGCTCTGAATAGAACTGCATTGGGCTAGTGTCAAACTACACCAATCGGTGCACAAGGTGCTCTAGTGATCTCAAGTCAAAGGATCACATGCACCACCATTTGTTAGAGGATTTGTTCCATAGACAATGGGGTTACCATCCATATGGAATCCTCTAGTGGGTTAGTCCAGCGAACTTGCCTATAGCAAGCACCCATGCATTGCACCAAGTTGTCACCAACAACCTTGACAAGTGAGATCAGTCACTGCCTTTTGACAGGGTCATTCAACACTATGATAGCCTTACCGTATTATCTGTGCCCTTACTTTAGAATAATACTAGGGCTACGGACGTTTCTAGAATGACCACCATATGTGCTCATAGGGTTCTTACTATCAAGATTTGAAACACTTGATACCCTCGTCACGGTTCTACCATTCTAAGGACATATATCAATATATACAATGATGATTTACGCGATATAGAATAAAATGCTTTTTATTGATCAATGAACATTATTACAAAGAGTCAATTCTACAATAATTGATTGGCTCTAGGGCACTTCTCTAATAGTAAAGACTTGGTTATCCAAGTGCTTCTCCATGAAGGACTTAGGGGAAGTAGCCTACATCCTTGGAATAAAGATCTATTGTGATAGATCGCGTAGGTTGCTTGGCTTAAGTCAGAGCACATATATTGACAAAGTACTGAAAAGATTCAGTATGGAAGAATC